TGGCGGAGAGCGAGCCCCCGGGGACCTGTGCGATGTGGCCCCTCCGGGCCGATGAAACTGCCTGGTGCTGCGTCCTTTTGGGCAGGACTTTGCGCGTCCGTCCTGATTCAGAGTAGGAGACAATCGCTGTCTCCTGGGGCTCTGATTTTGCCATTGATTTTAAAACCCCGCGGCACCACCCGCTGACTTCATGGGCTGCCACGAATGTGTGTATCCTGTCAGTGCTCAGTTCCTCCCTGCTAATGCTGTTTTAGGAGCTGTTTCAAGACTCAGTTGCCCCAGTTGGGTGGTGCGCGTCCGTCCTGATTCAGAGTAGGAGACAATCGCTGTCTCCTGGGGCTCTGATTTTGCCATTGATTTTAAAACCCCGCGGCACCACCCGCTGACTTCATGGGCTGCCACGAATGTGTGTATCCTGTCAGTGCTCAGTTCCTCCCTGCTAATGCTGTTTTAGGAGCTGTTTCAAGACTCAGTTGCCCCAGTTGGGTGGCGTTTTAGTTCTATGGTTAGCTTTCGGTTCTTTATTTCCTTGGATTTTAATCCCATTGAATAATAAAATTATCAGTATTTGTATCTATATTAAATATTTAGCTGAGTGAGATTCCTGCAGCACTAAACATACCCCCAAGGGAACCTAGGAGTTGCTCTAAGTAGTGTGTGTGTTTTTATCCATGTATCCCTTGCCATTCCCTGACACTTTCCTCAGCAAGTTCTTTCAGGCTTGTTTGAGTTCATTGGAAGATACTTGACCCTTACTTGTTTCTTCTCCCCCTGGATTATGTGGTGGTTGTTTGTCGTCAAACTCTTCAGTGACCTATAATGGGAAAGACACATCTGTATGCAACCTTATTTACAGCTTTTCTATTAATAAAAGATAGGAAAACTGGCTTTTAAAAAAATCAGTGTTTGCAGGGTCATATTTCTAAATGTTTTGCCGCCTTCTGAGGAAGTCGTCTTTCTGCACCTTTTCAGAGGAAACTGAAAACATCCTCTGAACTGGATCTTATATTTCCTCAATTTTGTACTAGTGTGAAATGAATCTCTAATATGTACTATGAAAAAGCCTTTTTGGAGACAAATCACATGTCTTGAGTTCCCAAGTGTGGGTTGATCTCTTGTCAGTTACACTCTCTCTTTTTTTTCCCCCTTGGTTGGGGGAGGTTCATGTATAGTTGTGGATTACATTGATCAACATCAGAGAAGCTGAAGGATGTCTTGGTTCCTTGTTTTTGGACTAACAGCTCTGTGATGGCATCTAGGGAAAAGCAACCACTTTTATTTATCTCAGGTTTTGGAGGCAAAGCATAGTGCCCAAATACTGTGAAAAACAACATATTCTGCTAGCTACATCAACAATACAGATCTTGCTCCAACATAAAAGGGTAGGAGAGAGGGAACTTGATCAGTACTTACTATTTGATCTCTTTTTGTAGTAAAAATGAAGAGACGAGCAGAGACCGAATTTAGCATCAACCAGAAGAAGCAGAAAAAGAGGGCAGAAGATCTGGGATTGAACCTCAGTTCCACTTCCGATGATGAACCTCCATTTAGTAATCATGCAACTCAAGGTAAGATGACTCAAGTGGTATGGATGCCAGAGTTGTAAGGAAATAACCTTGCAAGAGATGCTGCTTTGGTTTTCAGGGAGCTAATTAATCAGATGGAATTGAACACAGGTATTCAGATAATCCTAATTCAGTGCCTTAACCTCAAGAATATCCTTCCTCTCTGGAGGAAAGGACTGCATAGTTTCTGTACCCAAACTTGAGCGAGGTCCACCCCAAACATAATCTTATTTGGACACACTGCTATCTGAAAATAACATTCATAATCTTTGCATGCTTTGTTTGTTGTATCTTTGTTTTTTTTCTTTTGTCCATTAGAAATGAGTGTGTCACAGATGACCTTTTGAATTTGCATATTGTGAGCTCATGTATCTTAATTGAAGTGGCGCAGTGTACTGGAACCAAATGCATCCATTCTCTGTAGTGTTAATTAGGTACTGATGTTGAATAACATTAACAGTTTTTAAAAGTGGTTACATTTCCCTCCTTTCCCCCACTGCTGGGACTTTCACTCTCTAGGTTCTTCTGATGAACTTGTTTCACTTGTTCTTCAGTCATTATCTGGATTTCTAACATTTGAAAAACAGGTCTGAAATATCTTCTCCTCTCTTCTACCCCTCAGTCTATCTATCCATCCTTTAGGAAGAAGCAGAAAAGCATAGGTGTCACGTTCAGACTCTTGGAAAGGTACTCATATAGCTTTCAGTTTGGCATAACTCAGGCATCTCTCTGTGCGTGCCCACATTGGTTGTGCCACATTGATTGCAAATAAATTAATTTAGGGTGCACGTTTTCTGTTTTATTGCTGCCCTGTTCCATTGATGTAATGAAGAATGTCCCATCTCTTACTCCTGGTCTGTTTCCTTTCTTCTAGGCCCATGACAGTAACTGCTTTGTTAGTCCAGATGAAAAAGTCTTAAATGAGAATCCTAAATAGTGTATTGGATGCTCAATAATAAATGCTTTACAGATTAACTGGCAAGGTCCTTGTAGAGGTGGTTATGCCTGTCATTTGCTTTGGCAAAGTAATTTCTTACCGAAAAAGTTGTGAGGTGTTTTTTTAAGAGTTATGATGGTATTATTCCAGTGAATTGTACTCTTATTTACCTGTTTAGTGTTTTTATGGAACTTTCTCAAGTATGTAATTTCTACTTTACATTTATTTTTGCTTTTTCCATGTATCTGTAAAATCCTGATTTCTTATGATGTTCACATTTGGACTTGTTTTGAATGGACTAGTTTTGCTCACTCTTGAGTTCTACTTGGATGGTAATAACCAAGGTACCATGATAGTGCCCAGCAGCTCTGCTTACAATGCATAGCTGATTGCAAAGCTGTTCAAAAGCATTAGCTGAGTGACTTTGACTGAGATGGGAGTTGTGGCTAAAGTCTTTTCCCACCAAGACTGCTTTGAAAACATTGGGCCTCAGGCTGTATTCCAGCTTAATATGGGTGAAGTCAGTTTTGTGCCCTGCAGTGTAGAACCTTTCTACTTGCCAGTGGCTGTAGGCATGATAGCCACCAGACTGCCAGCCTGGCCTATAAATGCCAATTGTGGGGTCTTTTTAATCAGGATATGGCAGTGGTGACATGTGCTAGACAGTCTTTTGTCTTCATTCTTGCTAAATATTCCCAGCCAATGAAGAGTTACTGAGTGGTCATAAAAGTGTTTTACAAAACCCCAGCAACCTGATGTGTCTGAACGAGCTGTTATGTCTTCATTGGAAAGGGAATATTGGTGCCAACGAGCATTGGGGCCAGGCAGAATTGATTTTAATCACTGATTTTTAAATCACCACATGGAAAGCCACAATTTAAATAAATCGTTTTTCATCAACTTTTCCATTTGTTCATCAGTTATTTTCTAAAGAAAGTTGCATTCTCACTGGTTGATATAACCATTAAAACATGTTGATTTACAACTTCATAGAGCCGTTGTTAAATTTGGTACATCTTTTTGCTACGTAGAAGGATACAAAATAACTATGCATTTAATTAAAACAATTATATAACTTTAGTATTCTTATAGTCTTATTAATTGTGGATGTTTAGAAAATTGTGAGCAATATATTGTTTATTTAGTACAGGTTGGACTCCCCTGGTCTGGCACCGTTGGGACCTGATTAGTCCTGAACGAGGGAGTTTGCTGGACATGGAAGAGGCCAGTACTGGCTCCTCTGCTCCTTGGGGGCCACTGGTTCCCAGCCTCCTGGATTTTGGCCCCCACTCCCACATGGCTTTGCACTGCTGGCTCTCTGGTTCAGCAACATTAATGGCCGTGCTGCCACGGCTTTCCTTCGTGAGTGCTTCAGTTTTGGAGCAGTCACTGGGTCCCTGAGAATGCTGCACCATGGATGTTGCTGGATCAGAGAGAGAGACCAACAGAGACACACACACACACACTAATAGGATTGACAGAGTAGCTTATGCTGGTGAGGAAATAGCACTGTATGTGAAAGAAAGCATAATCAAATATAGTAAATATCTTACATTGACTCAAACTGTGAACAAAAATTCCAGCCTTGAATAATAGCAGTAGGAAGATACTATAAATAACCTGACCAGGATGGTGACAATGATTGTGAAATTCTCAGGGAGATGAGTGAGGCAACAGAAATAGAAAACCCACTAATAATGGGAGATTTCAGCTATCCCTGTGTTGACTGGGTACGTGTCACTCCAAAATGAAGTGCAGAGAGAAAATGTCTAGGCTCGAGTAATGTCTCCTTTCTGGAGCAGCTGCTCCTAGAACCTGCAAAGTGAGAGGCAAGCTCCTGAATAGAGCACAGGATCTGGTCTAAGAGTTTAACTACTTTGTGTAGTGATCATAATGTAATTAAATTTAACATCCTTGTAGGGGGAAATTTCAAAGACACCCACCACAGTAGCATTTAACATTAAAAAGCAAAACTAGACAAAAATGTGGATATAGGTTGAACCTCTCTATTCGGCACTCTCGGGACCCGACTGGTGCTGAACCAGAGAATTTGCTGAATCATGGGAGGTCAGTATTGCCCAGCAGCATTACCGACACTTCCGCTGCTCACTGAGCTCTTAGAAGACATTTAGAGGTAAATTAGAGCTAAATAACAGCACTGAACACTGAGAGCCAGGACTGGTGCCTGCATACACACTTGCTGGGACTGCAGGAAGCATGGCTACACCTATGATAAGTGGACATCTGGCTAACTGAAATCATGCTGGACCACAGATGTTGCTGGGCCAGAGAGTAAACCTCTCTTTAAACAGAAATTAAAATAAACAGTAAGAGTGAAATGCCTGCAAGGTGCATGGAAACGATTTAGAAAAACTAAACTTTGGTTTGAGCCTATGTTTATACCCCAAATACGAACAAAAAAACAGTAAGAGGACCAAAAATTGCCTCCATGGCCAAACCACAAACTAAGAGGACAAAAAGACATCTTTTAAAAATGGGAAGTCAGTCCTACTGAGGAAAATAGAAAGGAGCATAAACTCTGGCAAGGCAAATATACAAGTATTATAAATAAGATAAGCCACAAAAAAAATAATTTGAAGGCCAACTAACAAAGGACAAAAATGAACAGACTTTTTTGTGTGTGTCTCAAAAGCAGGACACCTGCCAAATAATCAGTGGGCTCATGGATAATTGAGGGGCTGAGAAACTAAATTAATTCTTTGCATGAATCTTCATTGCAGAGGCTGTGAGAGAGATTTCCACACCTGAGCCATTCTTTTTCAGTTATGCATCTGAGAAACTGTCCCGGATTGAGGTGTCCCTAGAGGTGGTTTTGGAACAAATAGAGGTGGTTTTGGAACAAATGGCTAAATAAAACAGTAGTAAGTGACCAGAACTAGATAATATTCACTCAAGTATGCTGAAGGAACTTGGATATGAAGCTGCAGAGCTACTAACACAATTAAAAAACATAAGGAAAATCCAATTTAAACTTTCTCAAAAAATAGAATTTTATTAATCCTGCTTGGTTCCAATATAAAACTGTAGGACTTTCTTCTGTATTACTTACCAACTAATTAAATAAAAATCTACATAGGGTTACAACAAGCCTCTTGGATCTGGCTTCAGCCAGCTTATAACAAGAATGCTGGAGGTTTTAGACTTCTTACTGTTTTTATGCTACCTTCCTTTTTTTTTGGTCTTGATCTAGTAGTGCATGATAAGATTGCAAGCTCTTCTTATTTCCCCTGTGCTAACTTGTGCAACGGAGCAATTTAAAAACATAGCATCAGCCTAACAATGTTTGCTGCTGGAGAAGGAATCTTTTGCTGTACTGGTTAAAATAAACCTAAAGTAACTGAAGAGCTGATGGTAACCCTGGGTTTAACTCAGAGAGCTAGTGGAGTGGCCCCGGAGAGAGGAATGAACAATGGAGAGCCTCTTTTCTGGCAGGACTTGAAACACTCTGTGAGCAGGATGAGCAGGAATCTTTCCTGGATCAGTGTTTTTAATCTTGTCAGCTTTTCTTTTGAGAGGTTATGTTAGTCCTTATGGTTGTGAAGGAAACCTTCCTAACGTGACCCAAGTGTACTTGGTGCAGCTGTAGCTGCTTGAGGCTGGTTCTCTGCAATTGGGGTTATGAAAGGGCTATAGTGGGGTGGGAAGGACTTGACAACTGATATTAGGAGGACAAGAACTCGGTATTGCTGCTGGTTTGGTGGAATGCCAGCCATTGCTGCTAAGAGTAGATGACCCTGAGCAGGGCTTCTACTGCTCCCTGCAGAAGGGGATACTGATGGGTGTCAGCATTTGGAACAGGAGGTCCAGCCACCCAAGCAGAGAGCTGCATTGTGGAGTTCCCACAGAGCCCTTTGCTTGGTGGGTGATAGCAGCTGGGTCACAGCTTACGGAACCCTGTGTTAGGAAGATAGTTGGGAGGCTTGCTATCACTGTCTTCAGACTGGGTGGGGCCTTCTTGCTCTTAAGACCACACTTCCTATTTTGAGGCAAGATGGGGTCTGGTTCAGGAGGAAAGAAAACTAAGTCCCTGCCATTTTAGCAAAGGATCATACGCGTGGAGTGGCTGGGGAATAACCAGGCACGGACAGACACGCACACACACAGTGATAAACTGCCACTGGGAAGGTGCAGCTCAGCATTTGTTTTATTTTGTGGGGGTGAAGCCGTGCTTTGTGGTGGTGGTTGCAAGGGCATCACTAAATGGATGTCTACAGTTTAGGGATGTGAATGACTAGTCACTCTCTTGTTTCCCCCTTGACTTGCTGCCTCTATCAGAAAAAGATAGCAGGTGGTTGAAGGCAGCATTTCAAAGAGGACTTCCCTGCTGATCCTGGACTGCATGTGGTGCTGGTGCTTTGAAACGCTCAGCCCGAGGTCAGCTGGGGACTCCCTGCTGACCCCTGGCTCCGTGCAGCGCTGCTGCTTTGAAATGCTGTAGGGAGCACAGGGCCAGCAATGGACTACTTGAGTCTCCCGTTGGCCTCATGCTCCCCGCAGCACTTTTGCCTTTGAAGTGTAGTAACAGCCCTGGAGCTGTTACTACACTTCAAAGGTGGAGGCACCCTTATCGACTATTCAGTTAGCCAACTAATCTAAATTTAACAAACCTAGTATAGTGGGGGTTTGCATGTCTGTTAGTTTGCACTAGGGATGTAAAAAAAGGTTTAAAAAGTAACTGCGTAATCATTAAATATCCTAGCAGTTACATGTGCTGCGAGCTCTGTAGTATGAGGCTTATACGGCAGAATCTACAGCATAGCTGGCTCCCCAGGAGCAGGGCCGAGAGCCAGGGTGGCAGTTGGCTCTCTGGGAGCGGGGCTGGTGCGTGCCTGGCGAAGAGCGTAACCATAACAGAAACAGATAAGCTGATGCTTATTGGTTAACCATTTAAATGATTACACTCTTACATCCCATGTGTGCACTGGTGTAGTTCCATCAGTCTCATGACATCAGTGTGAAGTCCTTAGTCCTGACGGGGCCAGAGAGATTTTGTGAGCAGGTATTTGAGAGAGAGTTGGAGCCCTTTACACTGATCTACCTCCAACAGATTGGTAGAGTTTCATTGCCAGTGTAATTGAGGCTTTGTGTAAAAAGCTTTATTTTGTTCTTTTTGTTTTATTATTGATAAATCCTGGAGCCTGCCTTTCTGGAATCCAGTGCATTGGGCTGGTATTCCAGTCCAGGTCTCTAGCATGGCTCAATGAGCCATTTAGTGAATGTACAGTGTAGCTACACTTACTAGGGAAAAGGCAGAGGCTGTGCATTGCTGCAGGAGTGAGCATTATCTGCCCATAATCTCATCCAGTAATGGCCCCACTTATCTGGCAACACTGCCTCTACAGCAGTTGGCAGCTGCCCACTCTTCGTTGTCTTTCTTGGAAGATTTTGCCATATGGGGTTTCCTCTGTATTGCTGAAATTTGGATTGCATTCTGACAGCATTTCAGTATACTGCTCAATTATAGAGGGCTAGGGATATGCAAGGTGTAAGAATTAGGTCTTACATATATGCAGCACAATAAGGATAGTTAAATATCATGGTTCAGGGTAGGGATGTGAAAATATAAACATGTACACTGTTAACCGATGAGCGTGGACTCACTGGTTAACCTTCACAGTTACACACAGCCCTCCTTCCCCATGCTGCTGCCTCTGATACAGAGGGCAGCAGTGTGGGGGAATGAGGAGCCTTTTAAGACAATTCCCTGTGCAGACCAGCTCCCGCGGACCTGCCTGCTCTCCTCTGCAGTGCTGTCTCTGATACAGAGGCAGCAATGCAAGGCAGGGAGTGGCAGGCAGGAGCTGGCTTAAAGTCGGCTCCTTGTAAGTGCTGGCTCCTACCTTTCTTCCCTGCCCTGTGCTGCTGTGTCTGATACAGAGACAGCAGTGTGGACTGGGACGGGGCAGCATTTCCCCCTATATGTAAACATGTAACTGCTGAATTATTCAGGGTTACATGTTTACCTAAATAAACAAATTTTAACATCCCAAGTTCAGGGTATAAGTGAATGATCGTTGTGGTCAAGCATGACCTCCACCTTCTCATTGGCATTACCTGGAATGGTAAATCCTCATATCTGGAGCATTTTCTACCTGGCAGACATGAGTGTGAATCAGAGTTTATTGCAAATGTAAGCTTGTTCTCAAGGGAGAAGTCAAGTGGCAGCCGTGAGGCGAGGGGGTTTGGCTTCCACCTTTAGTGGTGGAATGAGATCGCAAGACAGCTGGTATTTTGTCTTGATCGTTGTATGTGAAGTCTGCATGCTTCCCCACAGACAGTGACCGCTATTGAATCAGACTTTCCACTATCCCCTAGCCTGCTGGGATTTGAATTTGGAATCCCAGTACAGGCCGTCCTCGCTATAAGTCCAAGATATGTTCCAAAAAACTTGGACTTATTGCGAAACAACTTAAAGTGCGGAACTTTTTTCCCTAAGTTGACTTCCGTTTAAGCAAATTGGGGGGGAGTATTTCGCACGATTTATAGCGGGGAATGGGAGGACTTACAACGCATCAGAACCTACAAACGTCACAACTTTAGGGTGACTTATAGTGGGGACGCCCTGCATACAGCTTTCCCTCTGTATACAGCTTTCCCTCTGGTTAGTGAAACAAACATTTGCTAATTTCTTCCCTCTGTTTCATTTTCAGAGTCTTCCAGTAGCGGCAGCGGCTCTGACAGTGAGAGCGAGGAGAAGCGACCTGTCTTTGGCTCTGACAGCAATGAGTTCAAAGCAGACTCTCTTGTGGAGGGCACCTCCTCACGCTACTCCATGTATAACAGCGTCTCCCAAAAGCTCATGGTAGGTCAAAGTCATTTCTGAGCCTGCTGAGATGAGCAGCTGAGAGTAAAATTGAGTGCATTCTGCTGTGAGGGATGCCCCTGGAATACACCATTGTACTACTTAAGCCCAGGATTTCTGCAGAGTTGTTCTGTCTGCAGCAATCACAGCTAGTGATGACTGTGACTCTGGACAGATCAGATGCTAATTTTATGGTGAATTTAATCTTTCTTAGTAGCAAGAGAGACCTTAGTCCATCTGACTGCATGTTGCATTCAAGTCCAAGTCAGTCTTGCCACGTACGCATTCTGTATAGAAACATATCCCTATTAGCCCCAGGCTGCAGAATTTCAAAGAGGTTCGTGGCTCAGCAAATCTTTGAACTAGATTTAAATGTAAATACGTCTGTGAGCTTGAGGCACTGGAGTCTTGCACCATTTGTAAAACTTGATGAAGATCTGTTTTGTGTCACCTTTTTCAAGTTGAGTCTATTTCAACTGAGACAGCAATAGAAACTTTTAATAAAGTGTCATGCAGGCTTCACTTTGCCATAACTTCAGAACAGGCTTTCCAAATATTACTAAAAACAATCTTCCTTTCATGTGGCACCAGATCCCCTGGGGGCTTTTGAGTTGTAAGTCTGTGCGTGGGTGGCTGCAAAATACACACCACCTACAGCAAACCAATATCAGAAAAAGGGGCATGAAAGTAGTGATGCCCCCATTGTGACATGGGAGTAGAGCAGTTGCTACTGGCAGTGCCAGCTGGAGAGCTGTTGCCTATTGGCTTCCATTGGTAGAGCACAATGGCTACAGTGGCGTGCATCTGTGTGCGCACTTAGTGATTTTGGCTACAAAATAAGGAATTTTGCAAATGAAGTCTAGTTTGCCATTACTAATGGTCAAATCCAATGCCTGGCTTTCTGAATATACTTCAGTAACTAGCCCTGTGCATTGGAGAGAAGACTCCTAGCTTGATCTTGTAGAATATGGCATTTCTCAGTGCAATGCTCATGCCATACAATATTAAGCACTTATCTTGAGGCTGCACGACGCTGCACAAGTCTTGTCCCCCAGAGGCCTGCATAAGTTGTAATTTCAGGTGACCGATTCCTTTTTTGATTCTCCCATCTCCACTAGTTGCCTGCATGATGCATGTTTTGTCTCACCTTTGCTGCTCTCTAGCATTGTGATAGTGTGCGGTCTGAGGCCCTGAAAGTTGGAACAAAGCCAAAAGACCCAGTGGAAAGACTTTTGCTTGGCGACTGGCTGCCCAGGAAAAGAAGGATGTCAGACGAAAAGTTAGCTGTAGCACTGGGGTAGAGCCTAGATGGCAGGGCCCCAAGTGGAAGATGTGTGCTCTTTAAAGTCCCCAGCTGCAGACATGAAAAGATTGAAAAGACAGCAAAGGCTCACCTGAAGAGATGAGGCTGTTGAGCTGGTTAGCTGTCCAGGAGTTGAGCAGTAACTAACAGCAGAGTTCAGAAAACACCAAGAATCGCAACACAAATAGGAAGCTCTGAAGTGAGTTGAGATGATCCCTACAGGTTTTAGGCAGGGGACTCATGAAGATGGCTCATCATTTTCCCAAGGAGGGACAAGATATTGGCCACAGTTGTGCAAGATTTTTCTAGCCAAATGTTCCTGAAGAAGTTGCTGAATCATATATGCTCTGTCTTGAATGTCAGATGGCACCAGAAGCAATGTAAAAAGACAACCATTGAGTCAGTCCTACTGTACACATGCAATTTAAAAGGATTGAAATGGATATTGTGGACCCATTAAAATTGAGTTCCCTGAGGAGACAGACACATTTTAGTTATTAGGATATAAGCATCCGGTTATATAATCAACTTACATAGTGCTACCACCAAGAGAATTGCAGAGGAGCTGATGACCATGACTATTTACTAGTGTGGTATGACAGTTTCTTGGTTGCCCAGTACTGAGTCTCACCATTGTTTCCCTCTTCCCTCATGGGGGCGCAGAGAGTCGTGCTGGTTCTAAACTGCATATCCTGATCTGCCGGTTTTAGCCACATGTCTGCACTGAGAGTTAAGGTGAATTTATTAAAGCTGACTTTTTTAGCACCCGGTTTTGTAAAGTTGCAGGTGCATGTCCCAACTGTGCACAAGAATTTGATGTAGTTGAAAGTAGCACGTCCCCAGTAGGGTGGCTACCATCAACTTTGAGAGTGATGCACTCTGAGTAACTATCCCACAGTGCCTCCACCCTTTTGCATTCTGGGTTATGCTCCCAGTATATATGCTGGCACCAAAAATATGCAGCTGTTGATTCTGGGTACCTCTAGTCAACAGCCCACAAAGTACACATTTCCTCCCTCCCCCCTGCTTCAGACCAATGGCAAACAGTCTTTTTGTGCTTTTTTTTTCTCTTGGTTATCCACAGAGATGCCATAGCAGCATGAGCATGGAACCCATTGTAGCTCCTGTTGTGAATTAAAGCATTATGATGATGATCAGGGCTTGATTTCAGCCGCGCGACCTGTTTACCGGCGGTGTGCGCATGCGCAATGCAACTCTTGTGCATGTGCAGTGCAGGGCTGGCGAGCCCTGATGATGATGATTAACCTTAGTGCCCCTAATGCTGGAGTATGTCCAGAACATATCCAGGGAGTATGTCATAATAAGGAAGAATCTCAGGAAGCCATGAACATACTCTTCTATGAATCTCTTGAGTTGAATGAATTGCAAATGCTGCTGGCATTTGATCCTCTGGGCACAGTGCAATCCCAATTCTGGTACTGTCAGACAAGCACAGATTGGTGGGACTGCATTGTTATTCAGGCATGGGACAATCAGCAGTGGTTACACAACTTTTGCATGCTTAAGGCCGCTGTCATGGAAGTTTGCGGATTGCTTTCCCCCACCCTAAAGCACAAGAATACTATAAGACCCGCTCTGACAATGGAGAAGTGAGTAGCAATTGCCCTGTGGAAGCTTGCAATGCCAGACAGCTACTGGTTAGTTGGGAATCCATTTGAAGTGGGGAATCCATTTGAAGTGGGGGCTGTTGTGATCCAAGTAGCCAAAGCAGTCAGTACCCTTCTGCTAGAAAGGGTAGTGACTCTGGGAAATGTGGAGGGCATATTGGAGGGCTTTGCTGCGATGGGGTTCCTGAAGTGTGGTGGGGCGATAGACGGCTCACACATCCCCATCTTGGCACCTGGCCACTTTGAAAAGGAGTACATAAACTGCAAGGGATACTTCTTGATGGTACTACATGGGTGGGTGGATCACAAGGGCCATTTCAGTAACATCAACATGGGATGGTCAGGAAAGGTGAATGACGTGCATCTTTAGGAACTCCTGCCTCTTTGGCAAGCTGGAACTTTTTCCCCAGACCAGATAATTACAATCAGAGATGTTGAAATGCCAATGGTGATCCTTGACGACCCAACATACCCCTTGCTCCTATGGCTCATGAAGCTGTACACAGGCATCCTACACTGCAGAAAGGAGCAATTCAACTATAGACTGAACAAGTGCAGAATGATGACAATGTGCTTTTGGACATTTAAAGGGAAGATTTTGCAGTCTACTAATAAGGTTAAACCTCAGCGAATGCAACATTTCCATGGTGGTGGCAACCTGCTGTGCGCTCCATTATATTTGTGAGAGCAAGGGGGAAATATGTCTGTCAGGGTGGAATGCCAAGGCACAGCACCTAGCCAGGAATTTTGAGCAACCAGATACCAGGCCAATAAGGAGAGCACAGAGAGGGGTAGTGCGAATCAGAGAGGCTTTGTAAGACTGTTTTATGAATGGCCAATTTTGAGAGTCCTGCATGTTGCTCTCAACATGGTGCCCCTGTATTCAGTGTGTTTGCCTGTAACCTCCCACCCCATTCAGTACAATCAATAAAGAGACTGTTGTTCAGAAACCATGCATTTTTATTTAGGGAACACAGCAGACACAGAAAAGGAGTCCCAGGGCGTGAGGTTTGGGGGTGGGTGATCACAATTGCAAGGAGGACAGCCTTTTGCTTTGTGACACAACCCTGGGGGTTGAGTGTGAGGCTGCCCTTGATCCTCTCCTCAGCTGACCCCCAATGATCTAGGGCCCATGGAAGGGGGAGGCTGTAGAACTTGGTGAGGAGGGAATGTTGGGCTGGTGGGGTTGCCTGTTCGGGTAGGCATTCTGGAAATCTGCCAGGTGGTCCATCACATCCACCATGGACACCACCACTCTCTTCTAGTGCTTCACTTCCAATTCCCTGCACACTCTGCTTTCCTCACACTCCACATACATCTCCTCCAACGGCATCTTCCTCCACTCACTCTCACACTCCCTATCCAAGTTGGTGGATTTTATTGACTCCTTGAACATCTCTTTTCTACTCACTTGGGCATGAGCCTGCAGGAGGCAGAGGGCCTAGGCATGGCAGCAGGCCAGGGCAGGGGTCATGCAGCACCTGTGTGTTTGGCACCGCCCATTTTCCAGAAGAATGCAACTTTCTCATTTGCAGGAGAGGGTGCGCAGGAAGGCGAGGGGTGGTGGGGGGATGGAGTCCAGGCAAGGCAAAGCAGTGGCTCAAGGCATGCTTCATTGGGGCTGAGCAAATGGAGGTTTACTGCAGAGGCATTAGCTAATAGCTTCCCCTGCTTCATCTGGTTTGCCATATGAGAGATCAGAATCACAGTGATAGAGAGCAATGCTGACTGAATGTGGCCAGAAACTTGGACCTTATGCCACCATACTTTGTGCTACAATGACCTCAGACCACTTCCTGCTGGCTTGGTGTCCTACTGTGGAGGATAGAACAAGGCAGGCCTCCCCAGGAATTTGTGTGATGGATAAGAGTTCCTTTATGGTATTGTGCTGGGAGGATTCCCACTCTGTCTTCCCCAATACCTTACAAGCTGTTCCGGGGCCCTCTGATGTAGGTACAGTGGCCACCACAGATCACACCCAATTGCCTTACCCCACTTTTAGCAATATTAAAAATGTGAACTCCCCAGAAGTGCCCTCCCCAGGATCAGTGCCTGACTGAGGCATCCTG